TTCAGAACAGGATAGTGAGTCAGAGCGTACTTGACCTTTTTGAACGAGGACTCACAATCCTTGTCCCACAACCAGATCATTCCTTTCTTTAACAATCTTCTCATTGGTGCAGCGATCAATGAGAAGTTCCTGACAAACTTCCTATAGTAGCTTGCCAAACCAAGAAAAGATCGTTACTCATTTACAGACTTTGGTTGTGGCCAGTCTCTAATTGCTGATATTTTTTTTTCTTAAGGCCTGAGGCATTTTGGTTCACTATATGTCATAAGTATAAAACTTCAGACTTAGCGAACTCAGACTTCTTCAGGTTGATTTTAAAGTTGCCTTCTCGCAACTTACTCAAAACTAGACGAAGATGTTTTTCGTGTTCTTTTAGTGTTTTACTATATACGTAAATGTCATCAAGATAGAGGATGATGAACTGATCCAACCATTGACGAAATAACTCGTTCATTGACCGTTGAAATGTAGCAAGAGCATTAGTCAATGCGAAGGGCATTACCATAAACTCGGAATGGTCATACCTAGTCCGGAAAGCAGTCTTGTGTTGATCTGCGGGCTCCACCTCGATCTGATGGTACCCAAACTTCAGATCAATTTTACTGAAGTACTTGCATCCCTGTAGTTGATCAAGTAAATCGTCGATGCGAGGGAGTGGTTCGACATTCTTTATAGTGACGACATTCAACCCTCTGTAGTCAATACATAGACGTAATTCACCTTCCTTTTTGGGCACAAACAAGACAGGTGCTCCATAAGGAGATAAACTAGGGCGAATCCATCCCTTGTCAGTAAGGTCCTACAGTTGTTTCTTTAACTCCTCAAGTTTCCTGGAAGACATTCGATAGATAGGGCGCTTAGGAATTTTACTACCCAGAATAATCTCAATAGTGTGCTTTAACGGAGATCCTCGGGCAAACCTCCGTACGTACGGGCGTTCGGGTTCCTGTACGGGGTCCGAACCCGATGACGTTCGGCCCCCGCCAAAAATTATTTCGGGGCGTAAAAATAATTATTTTTTTTTGAATGTTTTTCTGTGCGTTCTCTATGACGTGAGGTACATGCTTGTAATACTTCAAGTCATTTGGCTTAGCCAAATAAGAATTAAAAATCGCCACAGATGGTGGTGTCAAAACATGCTCGCCCACGTATTTTTTCACTTTTTACTTTTTGTTTTCACTTTAGTTCGGGCTCTAAACAATTTAATTTTTTATTGAAACTTTTTAAGTGGGTTTTGTATTATGTGAAGTACACATCTGTCAATTTTCAGGGTTTCTAGCTTTGCCAAAAAAAAATGAAAAATCGCCAAAGATGGCGGTGTCGAAAACATGGTCGCGCACTTACTAAATTTAATTCTCTTTTTATTTTTATTTATTTTTATTATTAGTATTTATTTTCTGTATTTTATTTTTATTTCATATTTGGCAAGGAATTCGGATGTAATGCTCAGGCAAATCTTGTTTAATTTATTGTTCTCCATAACGTATCGTTTTTTCAGATTCTTTTGATGAACTTTTTTTTTTTTTTTTTTTTTTTTTTTTTTGGGTCCGCGCTCGGCTTGAACGGCCGAACGCATCCCCAAGGGTTCCCATACATTCGGGCGTTCGGCCCGTCCTGAACGCCGTTTACCCTGTATATATATATATATATATATTTGGCTTATTAAATAACTTAGGAAAAATACGGTAAATTCACGTCCTCGGCACGGACGAGGCCAGCCACGAACGCGGTCATATATGTGGCCGCCCTCCGAGCTCGACCCCGCGGACGCGTCCGCGGGTGTTTCGTTGGTGTAAAAAATATGCTTTTCATGTCTCTATTTCATTTTTTGAAGTTTTTCTGTTTTTCTTTTCCCTGTTTCTTTTTACTTTAGGGCTAAAAAAAATAGTGTGGGTTTTTGGAGAAGTGACGTATACTCTTATAAGTTTTCAGTCAAAGATTGTGGTAAAAAAATGAAGACATCCTCATCCTACTCGACCTCCTCCTCCTCTTCCTCCCCCTCCCCCCCCTCCCCCTCCTCCCCCTACTGTTCTTTTTCTTTTTCCTCCTCTTCGTCGTCCTCCATCGCCATGGCCTATTACTCCTCCTTCTCCTCCTCCTCCTCTTCTTCCTCTTCCTCCTCTTCCTCTTCCTCCTCCTCCTCTCCGCCTTCTCCTCCTTCTCCTCCTCCTCTTCTTCGTCTTCCTCCTCCTCCTCCTCCTCCTCCTCCTCCCCCTCCTCCTCCTCTTCTTCGTCTTCCTCCTCTTCCTCTTTCTCCATCGCCTATGCACCCTCCTCATATTCCTCCTCCTCTTCTGCTTCTTCTTTCCCCTCCTCCTTGTCGCCCTCCTCCTCCTCCTCCTTCTCCTCCTCCTCCTCTTCTTCTTCTTCCTCCTCCTCCTCTTCGTGTGTAGCAGCGGGCCCCCCATTAATCCTCACCCCTCCCCCTCTTTTTACCATTGTTTTTTTAATTTTTGCTCAGAAATTCCTGAATTGTTTTTTGGGTGGTCCCCTTGTGGTGCGCATACACCCCCATCATTTTTTTAGTTTTTTATTTTTATTTTTTTTTGGCCAAAAAACTGTTGTCTGGGATCCCGGACAACGCCTGCCTGACTGTCTTCCGGAAACGTCTGGTGTTACATGCGGAAAGCCTACACACGGGCCCCTCATGGGACCCGAGGTTGGAATAGGGCCCCCCGGTCGCGTCACCTCAACCTGAAGGCCCTATGGCATTTTTACTTGGGCCTGCATCAGAAAAACGCCAGCTTTAGATTATTTTTATAGTCTTTATTTTATTTATTTGTTGCTGTTTTTCTAACGCATGTACTGTTGTCCGTTTTGTGGCCAGGTACACGCTTCTAGGGCCACGGCCAGATTCAGGCTCAGAGGCTGAGCTCCTAAAAACGTTTGGACCTTTCTTTTGTTTTCGAACAGATTTTGACCTGTTCGAACCCAGGCCGACGTTGAGGCCGGGTACGTCCGCACAGGACCGGTTTGAAGCCAGGTACCAGGAAGATTAATCCTGGACAGGGCCTGGACGTCCGGTAGGGACCCAGGCAGGCCGTTTTAGGTCAAGGACTGAACCAGTTTTCGAMGCCTGCGATCTGGACCGTGGATCGGAGTTTCGATCTGCACGGTCCAGAACGCAGGCCGTGGGTTTTCAGTC